AGATCTGACTTGACTTCTCAAACTCTGATGAACTCTATCATCTTCAAAATGTTTCCTTGACTACTTAAAGCAACTGCTGTTTTTCTTTATTCCTTACCCCGATACTATACTTTCCGACTTTACAGAGAGAATATATGTGTGTGAATATATCCCTTCTGACTTCCTAAAAAGACATTGGCTCCTTCAGCATTCTTTCAATCTTCAGAGTAATTTTTTTTTGCCTCTTTCTTTCTCCCTCTTCTTTCTTCTTCTACTATTATTTCCCTCCTAACAATTCCATCTTTTTTTTTTTTTTTTTTTGACAGGCAGAGTGGACAGTGAGAGAGAAAAAGAGAGAAAGAAAGGTCTTCCTTTGCCGTTGGTTCACCCTCCAATGGCCGCCGTGGACGGTGTGCTGCGGCCGGCGCACTGCGCTGATCTGATGGCAAGAGCCAGGTGCTTCCTCCTGGTCTCCCATGGGGTGCAGGGCCCAAGGACTTGGGCCATCCTCCACTGCACTCCCTGACCACAGCAGAGAGCTGGCCTGGAAGAGGGGCAACTGGGACAGAATCCGGCGCCCCGACTGGGACTAGAACCCGGTGTGCCGGCGCCGCAAGGCGGAGGATTAGCCTAGTGAGCTGCGGTGCAGGCCACAATTCCATCTTAAAGGCAGTATGATGGAGAAAACAGAACACATATGCCAGGCAGGTGGTTAAAATTATTTTGAGGCTAATCTGATACCAAATAAAGGAGTTGTGCTCAAACACATGAAAGAACCAAAGAAAAGCATGTGACAGGCAGCATCATAAAGACTCAGTTTATTCATCAGGTGTGACAGCTAAAGTTGGGAGATAATTATCAGCTCAGTGTGCTGTGCTGGACAACACCCCAGTTCCTTTACAACCAGAACTCCTGATTATTAGGCAACTGCTCTTTTTTTTTGACAGGCAGAGTGGACAGTGAGAGAGACAGACAGAGAGAAAGGTCTTCCTTTGCCGTTGATTCACCCTCCAATGGCTGCCGCGGCCGGCGCACCACCCTGATCCGATGGCAGGAGCCAGGTACTTATCCTGGTCTCCCATGGGGTGCAGGGCCTAAGCACTTGGGCCATCCTCCACTGCACTCCCTGGCCACAGCAGAGAGCTGGCCTGGAAGAGGGGCAACCGGGGCGGAATCCGGCGCCCCGACCGGGACTAGAACCCGGTGTGCTGGTGCCGCAAGGCAGAGGATTAGTCTAGTGAGCCACAGTGCCGGCCCCGCAATTGTTCTTTCTACAGTGGCATGGTATGCAAGAGCTTTTATACACCACTCTGCCCAGGAACTCTCCCTCCAGAGGAATTATTCCATTTCATCGACTTACTTTTGTTCACTTGGAAGCTTTGTGTCTGACATTCCTCTGCCATGTCCCACAACCTCCAGTCCTGAGCCTCACTGCCTAGTCAATAAACCTTTCATACAACTCTGTAAATATACTTCATTGGATTCCACCAATTTGAGATTTGTCACAGTGATCAGGACTTTGGCAGAAAGACCATGTGAGCTTCTGTGAGCAATAGCATCTCCACATGCCTTCATGATCACCTGTCACCTAGGATGGGGTATAGGTATTATTTCTGATCATGTATCTTCTGTCTACACTTACTTGGGCTTTTTACACATACAGACTCACTAAGTTCTGACACCAAGCCTCCAGGGATATTGCTATCATGAGGAAACTGAGCCTCACAACTAGTTATCCTAGTTTAAGTAACTGATTCGAGTTCAAATTGCTATCTAAACTGTTGTTAAATGTCTGCCATTGCTAGCCTCTTCTTTGAGCTACTTTGGTTCTAAGACATGTGAACTGACTGAAGGTGACTGGCTGGCCCCTGCCTTCATCTCACATCCATTTGTTCTTCACAGCTCAGATCTCCTTCCCCAGGAACAATGTCCTGTGGTTCAGTATGTGAAAATATCTCATATAGATTTTATCCTCATTAGGTCTAGGCCTGAGTAGGCCTCACTGAATCCCTGAATGTTCTGCCTTGGCCAGCAACTATGTGGTTCTGGGTCCATCTGACCCAGTGCCCTGTTTGTTTCTTCCCATGGATACTGTGAGAACCTCTCTCCAGAGCACCTCTGCACTGGCTCCATCTCTGTCCCTCAAGGAGGTGCTCACTCATACCTGCCTCCACCTGCATGGCACTGCCCTTTTGTTCCAGTCTCTCATTCCCAACATAATGAAGAATTCTGGAGGAGCTGCATATTATTTGATTTGACAATGGTTCACCCAGAACACAACTTTTGTGCAACCTCAAAGGAAAAGCCCAGACACAAGAGCAGAGATCTTAGTGAAAATGTAAACAATTAGTCAATCAGTGTGAGCTTCCAGCAGGTCCTGATGACTCCATGTGCAGCACATGCTGCCAGCAAACCCACAACAAGCATCTTTAGTATTCCCATTTTAAAGTGGGAAAAACAACATTAAGATATGTTACCCAAATTCCAAAAGCAAACAGGCGGTGAAGATGGAGTACAGGCCTGGGGCTAGCACCCAAGTCCTTCAAACAACTTCTCAGCTGTGGTTGGAGCGCAATTTTCTGAACTCATCATGGGCTCGACAATGTTTATTTTTATTTACTCCAACATGCAGCTCATTCTGCACTTCATATCAACTATACAAACTTAAAGACAAAAATATTAATAAAAGTTAGTACAGCCTTGCATCCTGATATTTTATCTCATACTATAAATGCTGACCCAAGAGCCTGTCTTCAAAGTAACCACCAATATAGTCTGCAGTTGGAAAAGGCACAGAGAGACAGAAGGTCTTTCTGAGGACAAGTTGACGAGAGACATGGCAGAGGACACCTGTGAAAGGTCAGCACCACTCAACCCCTGGGATGTGACTGCAGGGCCTCTGAACCCAGGGACAGTGGGAGGACTGCAGAGAGACTGGATGCAGGTAGGGCAGAGAAGGCAGAGTACAGGACTCCTTGTTTTGGCTATCACCATATCAAGCTCACTGGGACAGGGATTTGAAGAAATCAGCTATCTGCTCTGGTCTCATTTGTAAGTATTTGTATAGTGTCTACCATATGTTGGGCTAGTTCCTGAGAAATGCAGCAGAGGAACACCAAACCAGATAACAATGGCCCACCTTGGAGTAGAGAGGTCAGGGAGAAAGGGAAACAAGAGGAGACATGAAGACTGTCTTGGGAATTAGAAAGTGATCTGCCATACTGACTGTCCTCCCCATAGCCTTCCTGGAAGACTGTTGCACGGTCACTGTCCAGGGTTGGCCAGTCCTCCTCTGAGCATAGCACTCATGGCACAGTCACTTCTGCACTGTGCTCCCAGTATGAACACCCTGGACAAATACTGGTTGAATAAAAATATTTACACTTAAAAAAATCTGGAATAATAATTAATTTTTAGAGATAAAATCAGCATTATCAGTATTTCAAGAAATAAACTGATCATTGGGCTAAGTCTTTCAAAATGAAACTTAACTGGGATAAATATAAAGCACTACACAACTTCACAAATGGTAGAGAAGATGGGACTCATCAGCCCCTCCAGGAACTGTACTGCCAGGACAATTACTAGGACTGCCATGGTGACCGGAGCCATGTTCAGGGCTGTCTTGTTGAAAAAGCAGATAGACTGATTCTCTGTGAGCCTGAGAAGAAGTATTAGCTGCAAGGGGTGAAAGATTCAGGCTCAGCACAGGACAGAGCATTCTCAGAGTGAACTGCTTGTGGACAGCAGGAGAGCAGCAGCTCGGCCACCAAAGTGCTCACCTGTGTTGCAGCTGAGACATAGTCTGCTCCTTCTCTAACTTGCCTTTCAAATAAATAAAAAATAAACTAAAAAAAGACATTTAAACTAAAAATAAAAACACACAGAAAACTGAATTTGGTGATGCTAAGTAATCCTAACACTTGGAAAGAAGCACACAGAGATGCATCTTGTAGAATTACATCTCATAGCACATGAGGTCAACTCCAGGACTAAATGAAAAGTGAGATTCAATGTTAACAAAACTTAACGCTGGCTTCCATTTTAGAAAACTCAGTACAAAAAGTTTTTTAAAGTAGGTAGTGCGGGGCCGGTGCTGTGGTGCAGTGGGTTAAAGCCTTGGCTTGAAGCGCCCACAACCCAAATGGGTGCTGGTTCTAATCCCAGCTGCTCCTCTTCCGATCCAGCTCTCTGCTGTAGCCAGGGAAAGCAGTAGAAGAAGGCCCAAGTCCTTGGGCCCCACATCCACATGGGAGACCTGGAAGAAGCTGCTGGCTCCTGGCTTTGGATCAGTGCATCCAAGGCTGTTGCGGCCACTGGGTTTATTTATTTATTGGGGAGTGAACCAACGGATAGAAGACTCTCTCTCTCTCTCTCTCTCTGCATCTCTCCAGCTCTGCCTTTAAATTAAAAATAAATAAATCTTTTTAAAAAATAAATAATCATAAAAATCTAGCCAAATAAACCAACTTGAAGTGACACAGAGGGGAGGGATTCTGACAAACAAAACCACACACACAGAACCCTGCTAACAGTGCAGTGATCACCTGCTTTTTTTCTAATCCAGCACATGAAACTTTCATGTTAAAGGCATCTTTTGGCATAAAGGAGCTGTTTCAGGACACTGTGTACCCTGAGGAAGTCACGAATCTTGACGACAGACCATGGCTTGTTGCTGGCCCAGCCCAACAAGGGAGCAGCAGCCCAGCACAACAGCGTGGCACAGAGAAACAACTTTCATTCCAACTTAGTATTTCTTACACTTGAAACAGCATAAAGTGATCTGAGGTCAGTATTTTGGAAACATTAACTCATATCATCCAGGGCAAGACTTGTTATGGAGGTGACTCTGTTTCATGAAGATATTTTAGACAGGAATTGTATCTTCTCTTTCTTATAAACAACATTTTCTTAAATTGCAGGGTGATGTGCTCCAGTAGGCACTTGATAAAATTCTGCTAATTGAACAGCACTTCTGACATGTTATGATGTTTAACCCTAGCAGTAACAGGTAGCTAATAATAGGCCTTATTATTTTCACAGGACATGACTAAATGGTGATGCTTGCTCTTTTGGTGACCATGATGATGTTCACCCCACCACACAATGATGTTTGAGGACCAAGAGGTCTCCCGACCTTTTATTCTCAATCCAGAAATGTTATGAATGATAACTGAAGTCAAAGATTTTCTGGGAATGTGTTGTGTATGCTGGCTTTCCTCTGGTTTTGTCTAAGTCACAGATGCTCTTGCTTCAGATTCTCCTAGGTACAAGAGGAGCTAATCAGCTTCATGTTCCAGGATATTATGAAAGGGGAGTTAAAAAATAAGTGAATTAAAACAACAACAACAATAACAACAAGTAAGTTCACAGTGTATAAACCTGACAAACATTACCTCAGCCAGAAACCAAGGTCAGCATCCCCAGAGGTCAGTTATGTTGATGGCATGTCCCCTTGAAAGGATGATAAAAATGGCACCTCTGCGGTAGCTCAACCCTTTTCCAAACTATTACCCATCTAAATATCAGAAAACACCAAGCTATGAGATATTCTACAAAATACCAATAATTCTGACATAAGGGCAATAAAAAAACCAGGATGATCTAAGAGGTACCTTCAATGACACGACAATTAAAGGTCATGTGGTGCCCTGGGTTGGACACTGGACTAGAAAAAAGACATGAGGGAAAAATCTGAGGGAATCTGAATAAAGTATGGACATAAGTTAGTAACAGTGCATCAAATCAGTTAATCAGTTCTGACAAATGTGTCATACTACCATATGATGCTAACAACAGGGAAACTGGTTATGGTATGTTTTTCTTTCTTTCTTTCTTTTTTTTTTTTTTTTGACAGGCAGAGTGGACAGTGAGAGAGACAGACAGAGAGAAAGGTCTTCCTTTGCCATTGGTTCACCCTCCAATGGCCGCCACGGCCAGCACACTGCGGCCAGCACACCACACTGATCCGATGGCAGGAGCCAGGTGCTTCTCCTGGTCTCCCATGGGGTGCAGAGCCCAAGCACTTGGGCCATCCTCCACTGCACTCCCTGGCCACAGCAGAGAGCTGGCCTGGAAGAGGGGCAACCGGGACAGAATCCGGTGCCCCGACCGGGACTAGAACCCGGTGTGCCGGCGCTGCAAGGCGGAGGATTAGCCTAGTGAGCTGTGGCGCCGGCCTTATGGTATGTTTTTCAAAAAGATTATTCATTTATTTGAAAGGCAGAGTGACATAGAGAGAGAGAGGGAGAGAGAGGAGGAGAGGGAGAGAGGGAGAGAGGGAAGGAAGGAGAGAGGGAGAGAGGGGAGAGAGAAAGAGAGAGAGAGAGAGAGAAAGAGAGAGAGAGAGAGAGAGAGAGAGAGAGAAAAGCTTCTATCTATTGGTTCACTACTCAAATGGTTGCAACAGTGGCTGTGCTGAAGCCAGGAGTCTAGAACTCTATCCAGGACTCACAAAAGGAAGGCAGGGGACCAGGCATTTCCAATGCCTCCCTGGGCACATTTAGCAGGTAGCTGGGTTGGAAGTAGAAGTTCAGTTGGGACTTGAACTGGCACTCCAATATAGGATGCTGGCATTGTAAGCAGTGGCCTAATCTGTTGTGCCACAATGACAGGTAAGGTACTAATGTAAGATGTGGACAACAGGAGAAATTGGGTATGGGGGCATGTGGAAACTCACCATATTATCTTTGCAATGTTTTTTGCAAATATAAAACTATTGTAAAGTTGAAAATTTTCTTTAAATTAAATAATACAGCTATGGTAAGTAATAAGACTATTATTGGAAAGAAGGATCAAGTAGAATGGAACTAGCTCCTCATGACTGAAAGGAATTACTTTATTTTCTAAAAAATATTTATCTATTTATTTATTTGAAAGGCAGTGTTACAGAGGCAGAGAGAGAGAGAGAGGGAGAAGTCTTCTATTTGCTGGTTAACTCCTCAAATGGCTGCTATAGCTGGAGCTGGGCCATCTGAAGCCAGGAGCCAGGAGCTTCCTCTGGGTCTCCCACATGGGCACAGGAGCCCAAGGACTTGGGCCACCTTCTACTGCTTTCCCAAGCCATACTAGAGAGCTGGATTGGAAGAGGAACAGCTGAGACTTGAACCAGCAAACATGTGGGATATAAGCCCTGAGCCCTGCAGGCAGTGGCTTTACCTTCTATGCCACAGTGTCAGCCCCCAGCAATTATTTTCATAATTTGGTTATAACACTACTAGAAAGAATTATCATCGGAAGATCTTTCTCTCTGTCTCTCTTTCTCTCACTAACTCTGCCTGTCAAAAAAAAGAGAAAGAATTATCCGATTAAGTAACTTTCTAATTGCTAATTATATAGTGCATCAGGTAAAAATGCTTGATTATGCTATGCAGAAAAAACACTTGACAAATCCAATGCCCTTTTATATATATATAAAAAACAACACTCAACAGATTAGGAAAAGAAGGGAATTTACTCAAGCTAGCACAGGGGTGAGCTATTCACAGCTAATAGCCAAGCCAATGGTAAAAGATGTTTTCCCACTAAGATCAGGAACAAGATAAAGTTTTCTACTTTTGCTACTTCCATTCAATGCTATAGTACAAATTCTAGCCAGAGTAATTAGGCAAGAAAAAGAAAAACAAATGGTAAACAAACTAGAAAGTAAGAAATAAAACTATTCATAGAGGGCATGATCTTTTTTTTTTTTTTTTTTACAGGCAGAGTGGACAGTGAGAGAGACAGAGAGAAAGGTCTTCCTTTGCCGTTGGTTCACCCTCCAATGGCCGCCACGGCTGGCGCGCTGCAGCCGGCACATTGCACTGATCCAAAGCCAGGAGCCAGGTGCTTCCTCCTGGTCTCCCATGCGGGTGCAGGGCCCAAGGACCTGGGCCATCCTCCACTGCACTCCCTGGCCATAGCAGAGAGCTGGCCTGGAAGAGGGGCAACTGGGACAGAATCCGGCACCCCGACCGGGACTAGAACCTGGTATGCTGGCGCCGCAAGGCAGAGGATTAGCCTATTGAGCCACGGCACCAGCCTAGGGCATGATCTTACGTGTAGAAAATCCACAACTCTGTTATAGCTAATAAACAAGTTCAAGAAGATCAACAATGATTGACAAAGAAAAATATTTCATGTGTTATGTTTCATGCGTTATCAATGAAGAATCTGAAAAGAAAACTAAGAAAGCAATGGGTTTATAATAGACTCGAAAGAAGTGAAGTTAACCAAAGAGGCATAGAATTTCATACACACATGCATGCACATAAACACACACAAACAAAACATTCATGAATGAAATTAGATGAAGACCTAAATAAATGGAAAGGCATCCTGTTTTCATGGACTGGAAGACTTAATATTAAGATAGTAATACTTCCATACACAGATTGAGAGCAATCGCCACCAAAACAAATAACCATTTTTGCAGAAATAGAAATGCTAATTGTAAAATAAAGACAGAATTTCAGTGAACCTTCTCTAGCCAAATTAACCAAAGTTGTATCAAATACTTAAATACATAAGCTAAAACCATACTGCTCTTGAACCAAAACACAGTAGTAAATCTTCATGACCTTAGACAACTGATTCTAATAAAAAACACCAGAAGTACAATCAACAAAAGAAAACATAGGCAGGTGCCGTGGCTCAATTCGCTAATCCTCCGCCTGTGGCGCCAGCACACTGGGTTCTAGTCCCGGTTGGGGCGCCGGATTCTGTCCTGGCTGCTCCTCTTCCAGTCCAGCTCTCTGTTGTGGCCCGGGAAGGCAGTGGAGGATGGCCCAAGTGCTTGGGCCCTGCACCCACATGGGAGACCAGGAGAAGCTCCTGGTTTCGGATCAGCATGGTGTGCCGGCCGCAGCGCACTGGCCGCAGCGGCCATTGTGGGGTGTACCAATGGAAAAGGAAGACCTTTCTCTCTGTCTCTCTCTGTCCACTCTGCCTGTCCAGAGATGAATACAAGAAAATAAAAGAGAGCTAAACCTTAAGTGGGGATGTCATCAAATTCAGAAAGCAGAAAAGTGGGTGCTGGTGTTTGCGGAATTCTGAGTTAAGTCATCACTTATAATGGCAGCATCCAATATTGGAGTGCTGGTTTGAGTCTTGGCTGCTTTGCTTCTGATAGGCTCTCTGCTAATGTGCCTGAGAAAGCAAGGGAAGATGGCTCAAGAGGTCAGGTCCCTGCCACCCACATTTAAGTACAGGATGGAGTTCCAGGCTCTGGGTTTTGGTCTAGATCAGTCCCAGTCATTTTGGTCATTTGGGGAGTAAACAGTAGAAGAGGAACACACTCTCTCTCTGTCTCTCCCTCTTTCTCTCTATTGCTCTGCCTTTAAAAATAAATAAATACATCTTAAAAAAGAAAATGAAAAGTCAGATTTTACAGTGGAAGGATTTTTTGGCAAATTATGTGTCTGATAGGAGTCTTTTTAAAAATTTTTTATTTTTTTTCAGGAATATAATGATCCTTCCCACCCTGCCTTCCCTCCCACTCACACTCCCACCCTTCTTCCTCCTCCTCCTCCTATTCCCATTCTTAATTTTTACAAAGATCTATTTTCAGTTTACTTTATACTCATAAGGTTAACCCAACACTAAGTAAAGAGTTCAACAAAGAATATGAAGAACAAAACACTGTTCCTCAACAGGCAAGACAAAGGCTGTTAAAAATTATTGAATCTCAAAATCTAAATACTATAGATTATCTTTTAGGTACTATATTAGTTACCACAGATCAGGGAAAACATATGGCATTTGTCTTTTGGGACTGGCTTATTTCATTTTGTTGCAAACAACAGGATTAAATTTTAACTGCTGTGTAGTATTCCATTGTGTATATATACACCATAATTTTTTTATCCAGTCTTCAGCTGATGGACATCTGGGTGGATTCCATACAGTCTTTTTTAAAAAGATTTATTTATTTATTTGAAAGTCAGAGTTACACAGGGAGAGGAGAGGCAGAGAGATAGAGAGAGGTCTTCCATCTGATGGTTCACTCCCCAGTTGGCTGCAAAGGCCAGAGCTGCGCCAATCTGAAGCTCTTCCGGGTTTCCTATGTGGGTGCAGGGCCCCAAGGACTTGGGCCATCTTGCACTACTTTCCCAGGCCACAGCAGAGAGCTGGATCGGAAGAGGAGCAGCCGGGTCTCGAACTGGCGCCCATATGGGACGCTGGCACTTCAGGCCAGAGTGTTAACCCGCTGCACCACAGCGCCAGCCCCCTCCATATAGTCTTTTATACAGCATATAAAAATATCTCTGGGTGCCGGTGTTGTGGTGTAGCAGGTAAAGCTGCCATCTGTGATGCTGGCATTCCAGTTAAGTGCTGGTTTGTGTCCCAGCTCCTCCATATCCCAGCTGTTCCACTTCCAATCCAGCTCCCTGTTAATGGTCTGGGAAAAGCAGTGAAAGAAGGCCCAGGTGTTTGGGCCCCTGCCATCTAGGTGGGAGACTCGGATGAAGTTCCTGGCTCCTGGTTTTTGTCTTGCCCAATGCTGGCCACTGTGGCCATCTGGGGAGTGAATCAGTGGATGGAAGCTCTCTCTCTCTCTCTGTGTCTTTGCCTCTCTCTCTGTTACTGCCATTCAAATAGATACATAAATTTTTTTTTTTTTAAATAATACCTCTGGGAAGGTATTGTGGCACAGGGAGTTAAGCCACAAAAACTGTGATAACTGCATCCCTTATCAAAATGCTGGTTGATGTCCTGGCTACTCTGCTTCTGATCCAGCTTCCTGCTAATGTATCCTGAGGGGCATCAAATGATGACTACAGTGTTGGACCCCTGGTACCCATTTATGAAACCTGGATAGAATTGCAGGATTTTGGCTTTGGCCTTGTCCAACTGTGGCTATTATAGGCATTTGGAGAGTGAACCAGCAGATAAAAGACATCTTGCTCTGTGTCACTCTGCTTTTCAAGTAATGAAATAAGTAAACATTCAAAGAACAAACATTAAAAAAACTCTAAATAATTCAACAGTAAAATGGTAACACAATAAACATCTTTTAAGTCTATTTTTCTATTTATTTATTTATTTTAGAGCTTTATTTTATTTTATTTTATTTTATTTTATTTTCACAGGCAGAGTTAGACAGAGAGAGAGAGAGAGAGAGGGGTCTTCCTTTTTCCGTTGGTTCACTCCACAAATGGCTGCTACGGCCAGCGCACTGCGCCAATCCGAAGCCAGGAGCCAGGTGCTTCTCCTGGTCTCCTAAGCGGGTACAGGGCCCAAGTACTTGGGCCATCCTCCACTGCCTTCCCGGGCCACAGCAGAGAGCTGGACTGGAAGAGGAGCAACCAGGACAGAATCTGGCGCCTCAACCAGGACTAGAACCCGGGGTGCCAGCACTGCAGGCGGAGGATTAGCCAAGTGAGCCGCGGCGCTGGGGTTGTCTATTTTTCAAGAACTTTTTGAAGTCTTTTGTAAGTAAAAGCTAATGAGTACATACAGACAAAATTCAGATGGTTCTACTAGGTAACTAAGAAGCCCATTCTATAGCATCCACTTCAGAGGCAGTGACAGGAAACTGTCTCTTATGTAAACTTCCAGGTAGTCTATACACATGGGGAACAAAAGGGAACTTCAAAAAGTTTGTTGAAAATGGAGTTAAAAGATATACTCTTGTATATGAAGCATGCAGTCAGCCCATCATATCCAAAGGGTGGATGAAACCAATTGTGGCTTCATCATTTTTGGACAAAAATAACTGTGTCTATACTGAACATCCAAGAATTTTTTCTTGTCATTATTCCCTAACAATAACATAACTAACAGTAACGTAAGTACTGACATAGTATTTATGTTTCATTAGATATTATAAGTAATCTAGAGACGATTTAAAGATTACAGGAGGATGCAAATACTGCCCAGTGCACCACAATGCTGCCCTCCTCCCCCATATGCTTCTTTAGAAAGCACATAGAATTCAAAATTTGAACATTTATTTTTATGGACACAGAATGAGGCAGAGTAAAAATCAGAATTATGTTCCGAAGTTTCAAAGATAAGACTTCCTGGTAACCTTGCTGCCACTCCAGTTGCCTACTCTCTTATAGCTCACAGAGAGGCCCTTGGAGATCTTCAGTTTCTCTGCATCCAAATGTCTGTGAACTTCCTGGGTATTCTGGGCTCCACTGTATCTTATTCCTGTGCAAAGACTTGAAGTACAGAGCTGTAGAAGCTACTTCTTAAGTTTTCCAAGTTTATAAAGTGGTAGACACCCAGGCAATTTTGACATTGATTTATTCTTCATAAGCCTGAACATGTGAGTACAGTCTGGTCTTCTCTTCTTGTTCTCTTTGCAGGAGCTGCTGACATTGCAATCCCATACCAGAAAGAAGAAGCAGGGTTATATGCAGGATGGAAGCCAAGTGGTGGGTGGATATGCGGCTGAGGACCTCACAGGGCCCTACGCAACAGAGCTAGTGAAGTCTCCTGGCCAGCTTCCACCAGATGGCTCAATTCTCTTTTTTCATCTAATTCACATCATGGGTTATTTCCTCTCAGGTCATCTAAAGCATTGCATGCTAAACTTGCATTTTAATGCTTTCATCATCTACTATTTCTTGATCTTTATTTATTCTGCATTAATTGCCATAAATGTTTTAAAACCCTTATATTTTTGTCAGCTGAATTCTATTTTTTTCTTTATAAACATTCTCCTTCAAGAGCTGCCCTTGTTCCTCTCTAGTCACCCTCCAAAGGGTCCCTCTCTTTGACTTCTTCCTGAGTGGTTTATGTTGACGGAACATGCCTCAAAGGATCTCAGTTCCAAGTACCTCACTCTGTCTGAAGGGAGTAGATTAGACTTCATCTGTATCTGAAAGCAGAGTATTCCTGTTGATTCCTACCTCTGTGGCCTCCTTGTCAATCTCCTTACACACATGACAGCACTTGCAGCACAACTCCAAGAAGGGAACACACAACCTCACCCTACTCCCTCTGCTGTTCAGACAGTCACTATTTTCCCATCAGCACATACTTGTTAAGTGTCCACTGCATTCATGGTCCTGTACCAAAACCAGATGAGTCATAGTCCTTGACCTTAGAAAGCTTATTTATGGCTAAATGGGAGAAATGAAGCAAAGTATGGGATTATTCTGAAGGAGCTGACAAGAATCAGCGCAAGGTATAATACCCTGCCACTAGTTTCACAATATAAGTAAGCACCTGTCTAGATGCCCTTGTATCTGCCACTCTTTTTTTGTATCTGTGCAAATAAAAGAGAAGGTACAGAATATTTTTAAAACCATTGCCCAGGCAACACAGTACCTGCTCTTATGTTATGGTCTGTCTCTCTTGGGAAGCAGGGTGTTCATCCAAGGAACTGAATTGTTTGGGAGGATCTGTTTACTCTGTGGAGATGGGGCTGACCTGGTTCAAGTCATTTAGAACTGCAGAGCCAAGAAGTCAGCACAAGGATGAGCCTACCAAGACTGCCAGCTGACTGCACCCATTCCTATGGGTCTAGCAGCAGCTGGGACATAGGGCAGAATAGGTCACTTGACATGGACAATAGGGAGGAGAGGAAAGGGGAGGCACAGCAAGGTGTAGCAGCTCAGCTGGAGTGGGAAGTCAAGTAGGGTCAGACTTGATCCTACCCCACTGGTGCTTTTCTTGTTCACAGAGGCATTCAGCACTGTGTTCTTACATTCAGCAGTCCCCAGAGACTCTGCCAGGCTGTGTGCCTTTTCCCATGACTCTTCTTCATGCTGACATCTCAGCAAAGCACATTCCAGAGCTGCAATCTGGCTCATAGGAAAGTTCTAGTGTAACCACAGTGCTGTTCCAGGTCACAGCTGCAGGCATGGGAAGGGGGAGCAGGGAAAGGGTGGGCAGACTATTCAGGTCTCAAGACTCTTTTAGGAGCAAAAGTTTCCAGGGAAAGGAGGTCAAGGACAGAGAGGGAAAAAAATTCCATGCCTTTTATATAGGGCCACCTTGAAGTCATCCTTGATCTTGATGGATGACAGGTGCTGGAAATTTACCATGGGAAGGTTAAGATGCAAGTTTATTGCATATAGCTTGACAGTATATGAAACTGGGAAGTTACTTTTCTTCATTCTGTCATGAAAACTTTATAACTGTTCATACTGATGTTAATAGGCTGTTGTCATTCCTTCTCATTTCTTTCTTCAAATCAAATCTAAATCTAACACTGGTTTAATTCTCATATATAAATCACAACAGGTGTTTAGCACAGTGGTTAAGTTGCTGCTTGGGACACCTGCATTGCATATGCTAATGTGTATCTTCGGAGGCAGCAGGTGATGGCCTGAGTACTTGGGTCCTCGCCCACCCACATGGGAGACCTGGATAAATTCCAGGCTCCTGGCTTCAGCCTGGCTCCTTCCTGGCTGTTTGCATGTATTTGGGAAGTAAACCAGTGGAGAGATGATCACTTTCTCTCCTTCAAATAAAAATAGAGAAATAAATTAAAAATAAAAGTAGGAAAAAAGGAACATGAAAACATTCATTGCTATTTTCATATTATCTATAAGTTCACTTAGAATGTCAATCAAGGTATATATAAGAGAACATAAGTACTGCCTAGTGTTTAAAGAACATGAAATACTGCTTTCAAATTATCTACATCTCTGATTCTACTATGAAACATTTAAAATTTCAGTCAGATAGCTATGTCATGACACTACACCAATAAAATGATAAAAGCTTAGAGAAGAGACAGAAGGATGGAAAATGAATCACTTTTCTGCCATCTGGAAGAGAAGAAATGATATGTACACAAAGACATAATATAGTTGCAAATGGTACACATTTAACTGAAATATATTTGAGGCCTCATATAAAGTAGCCCCAGTATTTGCAGAAAATGCAATAAATACTACTACACCAATACAACTAAACTTAATTCTTACCCACAAAGAAGGCTCAACCTACAATGTTGGGCCGTATACAAAATGAATCACAGACCTAAATATAAGAGCAAAAAATGTGGCCAGCGCCGCGGCAATAGGCTAATCCTCCACCTGCGGTGCCGGCACACCAGGTTCTAGTCCCAGTCTGGGCACTGGATTCTGTCCTAGTTGCTCCTCTTCCAGTCCAGCTTTCTGCTTTGGCCCAGGAGTGCAGTGGAGGATGGCCCAAGTCCTTGGGCCCTGCACCTGCATGGGAGACCAGGAGGAAGCACCTGGCTCTTGGCTTCGGATCGGTGCAGCACCGGCCATAGCGGCCATTTGGGGGGTGAACCAATGGAAAAGGGAGACCTTTCTCTCTGTCTCTCTCACTGTCTAACTGCCTGTCAAAAAAAAAAAAAAAAAAAAAGGCAAAAAATGTAAAACTTTTAGAAGAAAGTGTTTATAACTTTGGATTAGGGAGTGGTTTCTTAGATACAACAAGGAAAACAAAAGCAATGGTAACAACAAAAGATAAATTGGGTGGTATCAAATTATAAACCTTTGTGTTTCAAAGGACATTATCAAAAAAGTTAATAAAGTCCCATAATAGGGAAAAAACATTTGCAAAATTAGTATCTGATAAGGGACTAACGTCTGGAATCCATGAAGAACTCTTATAACTGAAAAATAAAAAGACAAGCAATGAAATTTTAAAACTAGGCAAAGGGCTTGAAAGATATAAGGGGTCATCAAGAAGTTCACGGAAAACATGAATTATCTTAATTTTATTTTCCTTTGACTTTCTGAATCTCCCTCATATTTCTCCAAAGAAGACATACAAGCAAGAAGCACATGAAGACACTCAGTGACATTAGCCATCAATAAAAAGCAAACCAAAGTCATAGTGAGGTATCACTTCATACATACTTGGACAGTTGAAATAAAAAAAAGTTTTATTGAGGATGTTGAGAAACTGGAACCTCATACATTCATGTTGGGAATATGAAATGTTACAGCCACGTTACAAAACAGTCTGGCAGTTTCTCAAATAATTAAACATAGGTATCATATGACAGGAATTCTGCCCCTAGATAAATGTCCAATAAAACTGAAAATGTGTCCACACAAATAAAAGCATGAATGTTCACAATAACACTTTTCATAATTAGCCAAAGAATGGAAAGAGCCCAGATATATACTAACTGATAAAGATATAAATGAAATATGCTATATCCATATAATAGATTATTATATTTGGTAAAAAATGAAGTACTGATGTATGTCACACTATGGATAACTTTGAAAGGAGCCAGTCACAAAAAACCACAAATTACATGACTCCATTTGTATGAAATGTACAGTATATGCAAATATGCGTAAATAAAAAGTAGATTAGTGTTTACCAGGGGCTAAGAAGAACGTATGGGATTTCTTTTTGAGGTTAAAAAAGTGTCCTAATATTAAAAATTATGATTATGACCACAACTCTATAAATATAATAAAAAGATGAATTTTATGTGGTGTGAATGACACATCAATAAAACTCTTTAAAAACATGGGGGATGTAGAGGGATAAGATAGATTGCATCAACTTCCTCTTCAGTCAAGATCCATCTTCTAGATATCTGTGTGCACACCAAAGAACAATAAATATTAGACCTGTAAATTCATAGCATCTGATAGTGTTTAACACTTCACAACAAGTCAGAATATGAACAGGGACAATGATGAAGAATAGAAAAGACTGTGGATGTCCATTAATAGAATTAGCAGTAGACAAAGTTGAGAAGAAATAGGGCCAAATGACCCTGTGAGGTGTCATCAAGACCACCAGGAATTGTTTTAGAGCAGAAATAAGAAAAAGTTCAAGAGGGTAGCAACTGAGATTGAAAAGTTTATTTAGGATTAATGAACAAAGAGCTAATATTAAGAGATTATTAGAATTTATTGAGAGAACAGGTAAGAAAACTAGACTAGGCTATGACACCAATTGTGTATACAAAACAGAATCTCACTTTAAAATAACTCAAATCACAATAAAAATACTCAAATCATTCAAAATGAGCAAATTCAATTTTTCTGCAACACGAAGAAGCAAAAAAGTTCATAATAAAGAAAATAGGCATTACAATAACTGCTTTATGAGAATGTGATGCTAAGCAGGTCAATGAATGAAATCATCCCACAGACTTTGGTAGTATGTGGGCGTATACAAAAGAACAGATGAAACCATCATGCGTGATGGGGAGTTGTCATCTTTCCTTTGGGTTCTTTAATCAAGGGCAGGAATGTGTCACTTCTGGAGAAGGAATTCCATGCCTTCCTGTATCAAAACAGCATATTACCTAAAAGTAAAGGTTCACAGCAGGGAGAGCATTGTACCCACCAGGGGACTTGGCTGAGGACTCAATGTGCCACAGCTGAGTGCCTAAAGGAATCCAAGAAGCTTGACACAAGTCTTTCTCCACTGTCTAAACATACACAAAAGGCAATCTCTAATCATCACATCCCCTATCTATTAGTTCACACTCCTCACTCTGCTTTAATACTGGATCAGCTTCACTATTAAGAGTCAGGGATGGAGGCCAGCGCTGTGGCATAGTAGGCTAACTCTGCCTGTGGCACCGGCAAACCATATGGGCGCTGGTTCTAGTCCTGGGCTGCTCCTCTTCTGATACAGCTCTCTGCTATGGCCTGGGAAAGCAACAGAAGATGGCCCAAGTGCTTGGGCCTCTGCACCCACATGGGAGACCCAGAAG